GCTCTTCAGCTCAAGGCGAGCGCTCTACCACTTAAGCCACGGTGCCTACCAGTTTTCTGGTGGTTCACTGGAGATCAGAGTCTCATGGACTTTCCTGCCCAGGCTGGCTTTGAACCGGGATCCTCAGATCTCAGCCTCCTGATGACAGGCCTGAGACACCGGTGCCCAGCTTGCACCAAGCTTTTAAAGTCAAAGGTCACCTGTTGGATGGAGACCAAAGCTCAGTAAAGTATTCTACATAAACACAGCACTGGGAGCAAAGCTCTCTTGGGGTTAAACAACCGGATATACCTACATTTCCCCAAGGCAGAGCCCTCCTGGCTCTACCCTTTGAGCCTGGCGAGCCTGGCCGTCTACAATTCAAAGGCTTCTCTTACCTTTAGGCCTCTGGAGCCGGGAGGACAGGCCCCACACCCCCATCTCCTGGCTACAGGCTTTGAGACGTCTGTGAAATCAACAGCCCCAGCACCAGGCCTCAGACACAACCAGACAACAAGAAGCACTGAGAAGCCAGCCAGGGACGTGGCCTTCGGAGGAGGCCGCAGGGAGCAGGCGTGGGCCCTGTGTGCGCAGGAAGCGCTGACCGGTGGAGAATGTCAGCTGACATAGTCATTGGGGTGTTGAGCATGTCAGAGGCACTGGAAAGGGGTTGAGCCCAGGATGGAGCCGCTTAAGGCTCAGGATTTCCACGCCAGGACGCGGTGCGTTCTTGCAGGAGGATGGGGGATGGTTGGCAATGAGGGTTCTGGCGCTGTGAACACCTGGAAGATGAGGGGGAGCCCTGGAATTCCAGCTATGTTCCCGTCAGCCAGGATCCATCCCTCGCACGTGGTGCGGCGGAGCGTGTGTGTGGAAATAATGCGTGTGGGGTGGCCGCCTGGTGTGTCTGACTTCCAGTTAGGTTAGCTCTCTGTGCTGGGGAATCGAACCCGTGGCCTCCTGCATTCCAGGACAGTGCTCTTAACCATCGCTATAGCCCTTAGCCCGGACAGCAGCCTCGCAATAGATTGTTGTGGCCGGTGAAGACAACAGAAAGCTCCTTTTTTTTTGCTTCCTTTTTTCCAGACTCTGAAAGAAGCAAAGCCCCAGAAAAGCACTCAAGTGCTTAGGTCTTACTGGCTAACATCAGCTTTGTAGTGGCGTCTGAGGCCCCATGCCCAGGGCTGGGTAAGGCCTAGAAATGCCCCAGAACCCAGCAGCATGGCCAACAGGTACACATGCTCGGCACAGGGGCCCCCAGAGGTGGTCTACTGGATTCCAGGAGACCTTTGTGGCTTCTTTCTCCACTCCAGAGCCTCTGGGTGGGGCTGGTGATAAGAACGAAGCCTCCACCCATGTCAGCGTCAGCGTGGGTGGTGCCAGAAAACTCGAGAGCCGAGGTTCTCCACTGACCTTGAGATTCATCTCTCTGGCTGTTGCCAGGTTAATAAACTCACTCCTCAGCAATTCTCCAAACATCCATCAGCCATGAAGCTGGCGAGGATTGGAGGGGAGATTGAGGGGAGGGAGGGCAGACAAATACACTCTTTATGTTCAATGTATAGGATGTAAAAACTGAACTCCATAACTTGGGGGTAGGGATGGGATGGAGAAAGCGGGGGGGGGGGGGGGGGGGGGGGAGGGGGAGGAAGGGGCGGAGGATGGAAGGGGTCACACCCATCAAGATGTGGTGTACTCACAACCTGATGCCCAGAAAGGAAACCTCTTTGGACAACAGCTAAATCAATAGAAATAAAAGCACAGGGCTCCCCTGAGTTTGAGCTCATTCGAGCTGTACGGCAGTCCTGCATTTTCTTCCAACATGCCCAAAGAAGAAATCACGGCTGGGATTCATGGCATCCACGTGTGTCTGGGATTCACACCTGAGCTGTCCCCTTCTCCTTAGAAACTTGAGGCCACGGGTGTCAGAGTTAGAAGACTTAGCTCTAGGTTTGTGGAAGTGGCAGACTCCGTGTGTGTGCGTGTGTTAGTTTCAGGGCTTGAGCTCAGGGCCCGGGTGCTGACGCTGAGCTTTTGTGGCCAAGACTAGCGCTGTGCCACTTGAGCCACAGCTTTACACCGGTAACCCTAGCTACTCAGGAGGCTGAGGTCTGAGGATTGTGCTTGGAAGCCAGCTCCATCAGGAACACTATTTCTAATCACCAAAAAAAGATCTAAGTGAGAAAGCACTAGCCTGGGGGGGGGGGGGGGAAGCTCAAAGACAAGGCCTAGGCTCTGAGTTCAAGTCCTAGAACTGGATGGTTGTGTGTGTGCACTGCATGCATGTGCATGCGCACACACACACACACACACACACACACACACACACACACAGTCTCCTTCGGACAGATCCTCAGCTCCTGACTTCATCCTCGTTTCTCCCAGGAACTTGGGTGTGTTTGCCAACAAGGCCGAGCCATCTTTGGGTGAACTAAGCCAGCTGGACCGTGAAGGCCGAGGCGACGCAGGTATCAATGGGTGGAAACTGATTGCTAGCCATCTTCACGTTCTCTCTCCTCTAATACTCCTTCAGGGCCAGAGGCCAGCAGGGAAGATGACAGAGGAAAGAAGCTGACACCCTTCCCGTGGCACCCCACACACGTCCGGCCTGGGCCTGCAGGATGGATACAAGGTTAGTCAAGGAGGGACGACGGTGCTCAGGCAGGACTGGAAAACTTGGTGACTGAATTCCTCCACCGTTCTGTGAAGTAGAGACTAGGCCAGAATATTCCAGAAGTCTCCTTGCTAAAAAATAAAAATAAAATTATTACTGTTATCAGTAATAATAATAATAGATTCTGACCTGCATGTTTTCCTCCCATTCAAAGTTTCACTAGGGGTTCACAAGCTTTCCTTTCCAACACTAACACCCCAAAGAAGGCGTTGAGAGTTCAGGTAGAGGACTTTAACCAGGCCTGTGCTCTCAGCCCCGCCCCCCCGCGGCGCGCAGGCGCGTTCTCACAGAGCTCGCCGTGACTCCGCCCCTCCTCCCCCCCCCCCCCCCCGCGCCGTTCGCGCGCAGGCGCGTTCTCCCAGAGCTCTCCGTGACTCCGCCCCTCCTCCTCCTCCCCCCCCCCCCCCCCCGTTCGCGCGCAGGCGCGTTCTCCCAGAGCTCTCCGTGACTCCGCCCCTCCTCCTCCTCCCCCCCCCCCCCGCGCCGTTCGCGCGCAGGCGCGTTCTCCTCAGCGCGCGTCGCCGCAGCGCCCCCCCCCCCCCCGCCCGCCGCGCGCAGGCGCGTTCCCGCAGGCTGGCCGCGGCCCCGCCCCCTCCCGCGGCGCCCCGCCCCGGCCGCGGCGTCCGTCCCGCCCCCAGGCGGTTGCTCGCGGGCGGCCGCCGCCCTGCCCCGGCCCAATGGCGCGGCGGCCGCGTCAGTGATGTGAAGCGGCGCTCCGGCTGGTCCGGCCCCCGGCCCGCAGCCCATTCCACCACCCGGCGCGGCGGCCGCGGCAGCCCGAGGCGCCTGGGAGGGCGGGGAGTCGGCTCGGCGGGGCGGGGCGGGGCGAGCGGCCGGCGGCTCCTTTCCGGGGGGCGCGGGGCATGGCGGCGCGGCGCGGCGGGCGGAGCGGCGCGGCCCGGGCGGCGGCGGCGGCGACCCCGGCTTCCATTTGAGGCGGCGGCGGCGGCGGCGGCACCGGGCCCGGGCAGGTAGCGGCGTCTGGGGCCCGGGCGGCGGCTGAGGGCCGCGGGGGGCGCGGGGGGCGCGGGAAGCGGGCGGGCGGAGGCCGCGGCGGCCGGGCCTGGAGCGGGCCGGGGCCGGGGCGGGCTGGGCCGGGCGGGCTGCGGGGCCGGGGCCGGGCCGGGCGGCGGGGCCGGGGCCGGGGCGGGCGCGGGAGGGAGGCCGGGGCGGGCTGGGCCGGGGCCGGGGCCGGGGCCGGGGCGGGCGCGGGAGGGAGGCCGGGGCGGGCTGGGCCGGGGCCGGGGCCGGGCGGCGGGGCTGGGGCCGGGGCCGGGGCGGGCGGGCGGCCATGGCCGAAGGCCGCGGCCCGGAGGCCCCGGGACCTGCGACCTTTTTGTTCCCGGCCGAGGCCCGTCCCGGCCGCCTCGCGCCCCGGGCCCCGCCGTCGTCCCTGGAAGAAGAGAAAAGAGACCTTTCCCGGGCCCGGGCCGCGGCCTCCTCCTCCTCCTCCTCCTCCCCGGGACGGAGCCGGCCGCCCGGCGTTCCAGCGCTCCCTCCCGCGGGGCCCGGACTCCGTCCTCCGAGCCCTGGACCCCGGACCCCAGATCCCCGGGCCTCGGACCCCGGACCCCAGATCCCCGGGCCTCGGACCCCGGACCCCAGATCCCCGGGCCTCGGACCCCGGACCCCAGATGCCCGGACCCCAGATGCCCGGACCCCAGATGCCCGGACCCCAGATCCCCGGACCCCAGATCCCCGGACCCCAGATCCCCGGACCCCAGACCCCCGGGCCTCGGACCCCGGACCCCAGATCCCCGGGCCTCGGACCCCAGATGCCCGGACCCCAGATGCCTGAACCCCAGATCCCCGGACCCCAGATCTCCGGACTCCAGACCCCAGATGCCCGGACCATGCAGATCCCAAAACCCCAGATCCCCGAGCCCCAAACCCCAGATCCCCGGGCCTCAGATGCCCGGGCCTCAGATCGCACATCCCCAGGCCCCAGACCCCAGACTCCGGATCCCGGACCCCAGACCCCAGATCTCCCCCAGACCTCGGACCCCGGATTCCGGGCTCCAGATCCCAGGCCCCGTCCCCCGAGCTCCGGCCCCGGACCCCAAATCCCAGACCCCGGGTCCCGGACCCCAGATCCCGGCCCCGGGTCCCCAGCCCGGCCCCGGCCCGCGCCCAGGTTCCGGCCCCTGCCCGCGGCGTCCTGACCGGCCCCTCTCTGCTCTCTCCTCCCTCCCGGCCCCTCCCCTCCCCTCCCCTCCCTCCCTCCCTCCCTCCCCTGCAGCTCGGCGGCGGCCTGCGCTAGCTCACTTCCCCCCTCCGCGCCTCCATGTCCGGCCCCGGCCGCGGGCGCTGACCGGCGCGGCCTCGGGCTGGCCTCGCGGGGCGCGCGCGGCGCCGGGCCCCGGGCCCCGATGGATCTGAAGACGGCGGTGTTCAACGCGGCGCGCGATGGCAAGCTGCGGCTGCTCACCAAGCTGCTGGCCAGCAAGTCCAAGGAGGAGGTGTCCTCCCTGATCGCCGAGAAGACCCACGGCGCCACGCCCCTGCTGGTGGCCGCCCGCTACGGCCACCTGGACATGGTGGAGTTCCTGCTGGAGCAGTGCAGCGCCTCCATCGAGGTGGGCGGCTCGGTCAACTTCGACGGCGAGACCATCGAGGGCGCCCCGCCGCTGTGGGCCGCGTCCGCCGCCGGGCACCTGAAGGTGGTGCAGTCCCTGCTGAGCCACGGCGCCGCCGTCAACAACACCACCCTGACCAACTCCACGCCGCTGCGGGCCGCCTGCTTCGACGGCCACCTGGAGATCGTCAAGTACCTGGTGGAGCACAAGGCCGACCTGGAGGTGTCCAACCGGCACGGGCACACCTGCCTGATGATCTCCTGCTACAAAGGACACAAGGAGATCGCCCAGTATTTACTAGAAAAGGGGGCAGATGTAAATAGGAAGAGCGTGAAAGGTGAGTCCGCCGCTTTCCTTCTAAGTAAAAAAACCAAGGTGCCCACCACTGACTTTGAGGAAGATGGAGTTACTGGCTGTGGAGTGTTTTGATGAGGTAACTTCAGACTCCCGGGAATTGGTTCCCCACCTTCCGGAGTCTTCCTGGTGATTGTTGATCTGAACCTTCAGGCTGCCATTTAGGCCATCTGGAAATACAGAATACAGATAAATGTAATACATACATTTTTCTTTTTCTTTCTTTTTTTTGGGGGGGGGTTGGTCATGGGGCTTGAACTCTGGGCCTGGGCACTGTCCCTCAGCTCTTCAGCTCAAGGCAAGCGCTCTAGCACTTGAACCACAGCGCTACTTCCCATTTTCTGGTGGTTCTTTGGAGATAAGAGTCTCAGACTTTCCTGCCCTGGCTGGCTTTGAACTGTGATCCTCAGATCTCAGCCTCCTGAGTAGCTGGGATTACCGGCGTGAGCCACCTGCGCCCGTCACCATACATTTTTCTTAAGTTTTTCTCTTTTTTAAGAACAGCTTTGGAATAGATGTACCACTCTATTCAGTGAGTCACTGTGTTTGCTCATCTGTTGCTCTGTGAGAGAAGGGTAGGCCCAACTGGCTGGAAAGGATTTCATGCCGCTGGACAGGGTAGTGCCTGAGTTTCCTGACTCCTTGTTTTTTTGTGGCCAGTAGAAAATCCTTTTATGTAGAACCTGTACCAAGTGCAGCAAGAGAGAAAACAGATTTTTAAAAACGACTTCAAATCCCCAGAACCAAACAAGGTCTAGTTAGTAAAGTCAATGTGGATTTGTTGACTGGCAACAGTGTAAAAGACTTTTAATCAACAAGAGCTTAGCCTATAATTGTGTATTATAAATTGGCTTATGTTTTTACAAGGAAGTTTAAGTCTTTTGACCCTACTCTTTAGACCTCAGGAGCTCAGTTGTACCCATAGTCCGCAGATACAAGCACAGGTGCTGCCCCCCTTCTCCTCTCTCTCTGTTAATCAGATGCATCCTGTTGTGTGCTTTATTTTATTTTTTATTTTCTGGTGTCTCTTCTAGGGCTTGGACTTAGGTCAGGGCCTGGGCGCTGTCCCTGAACATTTTTGCTCAAGGCTAGCACTCTTACCTCTTGAGCCAAGGCAGCTCCACTTCAGCTTTTTTTTTTATTTTTTAAATAGTTAACTGGAGATAAAAGTCTCCCACACGATGCTACTCCAGCTGGCTTCAAACCACAGTCCTTCAATTCAGCCTCCTGAGTAGCTAGGATTACAGGTGTAAGCCACTGGTGCCCAATTGTTCTGTTTTTTAATCCTCACATTTGTGGGTGTGATTGAGTCCTGCTACCTCATTCTTGTTGCATGGCTGTCCGGTGGGTGTCTCCTCTAGCATACATTCCTCTAGCCGCTGCTGATGGACACAGTGTAGGCGCAGTGCAGCTGTGAGTGTTAACTGTGAATCTGCACACTTATATGAGTGGCTGTATTTGGAATTGTTGAATCAAAGTGATACATATTTGCCGTTCACAGGGTAAAACACAATTTTGAGCCGCTTTTGTAGTTAGCATGTTTACTGAAATATTCTTTTTAAAGAGCAATTTATTATAAAAAGAACACAAGATCACTAGTTTTCTGTAAAAATTTTCAGAGCAAGTGTAAAAATCTCATAGCATCCTGACCCTCAGATATTCTTTCCAAAAGTTATTCCTGAATGTTGCACACAGGTATGTGCAGTTTTTAAAATTTATTTATTTTTGGTCAGTCCTGGGGCTTGAACTCAGGGCCTGGGCACTTGTCCCTGAGCCTCTTTTGCTCAAGGCTAGCTAGCACTCTACCACTTGAGCCACAGCGCCACTTCTGGCTTTTTCTGTGTGTGTGGTACTGAGGAATCGAACCCAGGGTTTCTTTCATGCATGCAAGGAAAGCGCCCTGCCCCTGAGCCACCTTCCCAGCCCTGCAGTTTTATTTTATGTGCTGTTCTATAACTTGTTTTTTTAGCTTAGTGTTATGTTTAATGTCATTAGGTGTGTGGTCTTTCATTTCAAGAGCTGGATACTCTTCTAAAGAAGTTTTACATGGCTTCTGGTTGTGTTTTGTTTTTTGCTGGGCCTGGGACTTGAACTCAGTTTGGGTGCTGTCCCTGAGCTTTTTTGTTCAAGACTAGTGTACTACCACTTGAGCCTATAATGTTTCTGTAAACAGATTGATTTGTTCTTGATTGTCTTTAGAGGTGGATTGATGGATTAGGAGAGAGCATACCCCTTTAAAAATAAAAACCAACCACGTTCTGTGCTTGTTTTAGAAGAACAAGTTGTTTAGTGGTGCTCCCTGTGAGTGGTTAAGTAGCTGGAGGTCAAGGCATTATTAGAAGGAGCGATGGCTGGTTTTGCTTTGGGAATTTTTTTTTTTAATTTAGCAGTTTAATGATGATTGATAAATTCCCATGTTTAAGCAGAATATGGGGTATGTTTTCAACCCCAGGCCACTGGAGGGGTGACCCCTGAAATGCCTCCCTCAGGTTTTCCCAAGCAGTACTTCAGTGAGGATCCCACACCTCCATCCCAGGGGACCTGGCAGAGGCAGGCAGGCACAGGAGAAAGATTCTTACCAGGTTCATTGGAGGAGCCATATTTCCCCCAAGAGGGAGCACATGGCACCTGTCCCCATCCAGGCAGCAGGAGGGTCTGAGGGACAGGAAGTGAGGTAGCTGGGAGCTCAGGTGGGTCTGGGCGGAGAGAGGGAGGGGCCAGCTGTGAGGAGGGAACTCCGGGAATGGAGGGGGCCAGGTGTGGGTGGAGCTGGGGACCAAAGGTGAGCATAATACTAACAGGCTGTGTGAGAGAACCGTTGTGCAAGTCGCTGACATGGCTGTCAGCATTGCCCTAGGAACCTGCACAGCGGTGAGGACCTGTGGTTACCTCTGGAGGACGGTCCTCTGCACGTCAGCTCAGGGCCGTGGGCGTCAGGGCTCCCTCTTGACAGCCTGCCCATTCAAGGTCCCTTTCCTTTGTTTCTCCGTATCCGTTTCCCATGTGTGTCTTCCACAAAAAACAAGTACACATGCTAGGAGAAGAGCACACGTTGTCCAGATTTCAGTGTTAACAGCTGTATAGAGATAGATGTGTGCAGGACTCCTGGTTTGTGCAGTATCATTGTGTTTTGTGAATGTGGGGCCCGATTCGAGTATTGGTACACCTCCTCTACTCTGGCCTAAGCTCGATTCTTGGATGATTGTTCTATGATTGACTTTTTCGAGGAGGCAGTGTGTTAATCAGAAAGCCTCTGAAACTGGTGCCGAAAAGGTGTCTAATAGAGCAGCAAACAGGATTTTTCTTTCATCCACATTTTTAACCCTGTTCCCAAAGTGGAAAATAAGGAAGAGACAAGGTATAAAATGACATTGTTTTTGTTTTGAAGTGCTGGAGAATCAAGCCCAAGGCCCCTTGCTTAATTAACTAGACAGGTGCTTTACCACTGCTCTATTTATACGTCATCCACTGAAATGGTTCTGAGGCAAGAAACCGCCTGTGGATTTTGCTTGGTCTGCTTACGTGTGAAGTGCGGGTGGCTCCTATACTCCACTACTATCTAACAGGCGGGTGACAGTCGAACATACTATTTAACCTCTTCCCATTACTTTTTAACAGGCCGTGGGCATTTTGAACGTTTTAGCCTAGAGTAGAATTAATTCATTGAGAGCATTTCTTGAGTCCCTTGGTGTGCCAGGCTGTTAGATAGACCGCGATGAGTGAGACAAGAGACGGGTTTATAAGTAGATGCTTTCATGGTAAGTGCAACCATAGTGCTTTCTTCTGTTGGATCCTGGGAATAATTTGTCCTTCACAACGTATTCCCTAAGAGGACAGGGGCTTCCTGCTTTCCCACAGCATCCCTGAAGGGGAGAATATATCTTTGAGATACCCAAGAAAGCCTTGTTAGTTTAACCTAGCACTTGATTTCTGAGGTCAGAGTAGACTCGTACTTAAATTGAAAGACCCCTCGCACCGGAAGTGGCCAGATGCACCCTCTCAGGTCCCTGTCATCTCTAACCTCCTTGATTCTCTGGTGGTTTGTGGGGGTCGGTGTTTATTTTGGACACGGTAGGACTTCGCAGATCTGCAGTGAAGTTCGCTCAGCCTTCAGCCCTGCCTTCTGCTGGGAGCTGCGCGGCGGGATGGACAGATTCATGGGGGTCTTCAGCTCTCTGGGTTGGGATCAGGAGATTGGGCCCAGGAGACATTCTGTCCTGCTCCATAGGTCAATCAGATACTCCAGGTAATTAATTGGCAGTAAGGTAATGAATGTGCTTTGTAGGCAGCCATTGTGTTGAACTTTGGAGGATCAGGGTGTTGTACTTAGCAGTTGCTGTAAAGGGGTGCTAGAAAGGGGCTACAGCCTAGGAACGTGTTTCATGAAGTGTGGGACTTGGGTCTGACAGCTTTCCTGGCTTAGAAGTGGCTCTGTGGGAAGCCGGTTGGGAATGGGGATGGGGCTTGGAGCCCCGGGGATGGAAAGTGGGCACATGTGGGCCAGAGGGCACTTTGAGTTCTAGTGAAAAGAATTTTAATTTTATTTGCCCTGCATTGGGAAGCCAGTGACATTTTTTCACCAGAGGAGTGACTGGCATTTTAAGGAAATGTATTTTTATTATTTAATTGCCTGCTACCACACTGATGTTTGAGGCCAGAGGTCTGGTGTTTTTATCCCATGCATGGGAGTGTACTGGCCCACAGTGGGCATTTAGTCACTGAGCTTGTTAATGGATGAGTTGGCTGTGAGAAACGGTTCTGAGCTCCTTGATGACAGCCACCATGCTTTGAGCTCCTTGATGACAGCCACCGTGCTTTGTCGTCTGTTCTGTAGAGATAAGAAGATGACGATTTAAAATAACAAAGCACAAATTGTCAAAGATGAGTGGAACTTTGGGTTGAACTTTGTAGGGGTTCAGAAAAATATTGTGTAGGTTTGTGACAGGAGTAGTTAACATTAACATTTGAGTGAGGGCAGTTTTT